TGAGCTCAGGAGTTTGAAAGTAGCCTGGGCAACATAGTGAGACCCTATCTCTATTTATTTTCAAAAGAAAAAAAATTTAAGAAATGAAAGTGAATATTTAGAATGAGAAAAAATTACAGCGAATTATACACTGAAGAAAGTGGCAACCTACAATAAATATTATACAATCCAGGGAAAAAGCGTAATCTTTTTATTAGTTAACTGCTTGATCCACCTCTAAAAAACTTCTATATTTTTAGGCTGTTTAATCTTTGGCTGCCTCTTCCTATGTAATATTTTCTTGAGAAGAGAAAGGCAATGGAGTACATCGTATGTTACTGCTCCCTTGTTTTCTCTTTGCTTCTAGAGACAGGATCTTGCTCTGTTGCTTCAAGGGTTTCCATCTCCAAGTTTTTTTTTTTTTTTTTTTTTTGAGACGGAGTTTCGCTCTTGTCGCCCAGGCTGGAGTGCAATGGCGCAATCTCGGCTCACTGCAACCTCCGCCTCCTGGGTTCAGGCAATTCTCCTGCCTCAGCCTCCTGAGTAGCTGGGATTACAGGCACGCGCCACTGTGCCCAGCTAATTGTTTGTATTTTCAGTAGAGACAGGGTTTCACCATGTTGACCAGGATGGTCTCGATCTCTTGACCTCGTGATCCACTCGCCTCGGCCTCCCAGAGTGCTGGGGTTACAGGCTTGAGCCACCGCGCCCGACCTCCATCTCCAAGTTCTTGTTACCACTTGGTCTTGTCACTGCTGTTTTAGTGTTAGCTTCTCCAGTAGTCATGCAGGGGCGTTGCACTGTGGACCGAAATGGTCCATCCCTACGTGAGTGGCGATGCCGAGCACCTTTTCATGTTTCTGTGCCTTCTGTTTTTCCTCTGGCTGGTTTGCCCAGCGGGTATCAATTTTATTATTCATTTTCCCCAAAGAAACAGGCTTTGGCTCAGTTGAGCCTGCCATTTGGCGCTATTTTCTTATCCAGTTCATCCATTTTTTTACAAAAGAAAAAAAGACACAACATACCAGAACCTCTGGGACACATTTAAAGCAGTCTCTAGAGGAAAATATATAGCAGTAAGTGCCCACATGAGAAGAGTGGAGAAATCCAAAATTGACACCCTAACGTCAAAATTGAAAAAGCTAGAGGAGCAAGATAAAAAAACTCAAAATCTAGCAGAAGACAAGAAATAACTAAGATCAGAGCAGAACTGAAGGAGATAGAACACGAAAAACCCTTCAAATAATCAATAAATCCAAGAGCAGGTTTTTTGAAAAGGTCAACAAAATAGACCACTAGCCAGATTGATTAAAAATAAAAGAGAGAACAACCAAATAGATGGAATAAAAAATGATAAAGGGAAAATCACCACAGATCCCACAGAAATTCAAACCATCACCAGAGAATATTACAAACAACTCTATGCACATAAACTAGTAAACCTGGAAGAAATGGATAAATTCCTGGACACTTGCATCCTCCCAAGCCTAAACCAGGAGGAAGCTGAAACTATGAATAGACCAATAACAAGGTCTGAAGTTGAGGCAGCAATTAAGAGCCTACCACACAAAAAACACCCAGGTCCAGATGGGTTCACAGCCGAATTTTACCAGACACACAAAGAGGAGCTGGTACCATTCCTTCTGAAACTATTCCAAATAATTCAAAAAGAGGGAATCCTTCCCAAATCATTTTATGAGACCAACATCATCCTGATACCAAAACCCGGCAGAGACTCAACAAGAAAAGAATACTTCAGACCAATATCCATGATGAACATAGATGCAAAAATCTTCAATAAAATATTGGCAAGCCGATTACAACAGCACATCAAAAAGCTTATCCACCATGATCAAGTAGGATTCATCCCGGGGATGCAAGGCTGGTTCAACATACGCAAGTCTATAAATGTAATTCACCACATAAACAGAACCAAAAACAAAAACCACATGATTGTCTCAATTGATGCAGAGAAGGCCTTTGACAAAATTCAGCAGCCGTTTATGCTAAAAACCCTCAATAAAGTTGGTATTGATGGAACATATCTCAAAATAATAAAAGCTATTTACAGCAAACCAACAGCCAATATCATACTGAATGGGCAGAAACTGGAAGCATTCCCTTTGAAATTTGGCACTGGACAAGGGTGCCCTCTCTCACCACTCCTATTCAATATAGTACTGGAAGTTCTAGCCAGAGCAATCAGGCAAGAAAAAGAAATAAAGGGTATTCAATTAGGTAAGGAGGAAATCAAATTGTCTCTATTTGCAGACGACATGATAGTATATCTACAAGACCCCATCATCTCAGCCCAAAACCTCCTGAAACTGATAAGCAACTTCAACAAAGTCTCAGGATACAAAATCAATGTGCAAAAGTCACAAGCATTTGTCTACACCAATAACAGACTTAAGGAGAGCCAAATCAAGAACGAACTGCCATTCGCAATTACTACAAAGAGAATAAAATACCTAGGAATACAACTGACAAGGAACGTAAGGGACCTCTTCAAGGAGAACTACAAACCACTGCTCAACGTAATAAGAGAGGACACAAACAGATGGAGAAACATTCCATGCTCATGGTTAGGAAGAATCAATATCGTGAAAATGGCCATACTGCCCAAAGTAATTTACAGATTCAATGCTATCCCCATCAAGCTACAAATAACCTTCTTCACAGAACTGGAAAAAAACACCTTAAACTTCATATGGAACCAAAAGAGAGCCTGCATAGCCAAGTCAATTCTAAGCAAAAAGAACACAGCGGGGGGCATCACACTACTGAATTTCAAACTATACTACAAGGCTACAGTAATCAAAACAGCATGGTACTGGTACCAAAACAGAGATATAGACCAATGGAACAGAACAGAGGCATTGGAGGCAACACAACATACTTACTACCATACAATCTTTGATAAACCTGACAAAAACAAGCAATGGGGAAAGGATTCCCTGTTTAATAAATGGTGTTGGGAAAACTGGCTAGCCATGTGCAGAAAGCAGAAACGACCCCTTCCTGACACCTTACACCAAAATTAACTCCAGATGGATTAAAGACTTAAACATAAGACCTGGCACCGTAAAAACCCCAGAAGAGAATCTAGGCAAAACCATTCAGGACATAGGAGTAGGCAAGGACTTCATGACCAAAGCACCAAAAGCATTGGCAACAAAAGCCAAAATAGGCAAATGGGACCTAATGAAACTCCACAGCTTCTGCATGGCAAAAGAAACAGTCACTAGAGTGAATCGGCAACTAACAGAATGGGAAAAAATTTTTGCAGTTTACCCATCTGACAAAGGGCTGATATCCAGAATTTACAAAGAACTAAAACGGATTTACAGGAAAAAAACAAACAAGCCCATTCAAAAGTGGGCAAAGGATATGAACAGACACTTTACAAAAGAAGACATACATGAAGCCAACAAACATATGAAAAAATGCTCATCATCACTGGTCATCAGAGAGATGCAAATCAAAACCACATTGAGATACCATCTCACGCCAGTTAGAATGGCAATTATTAAAAAATCTGGAGACAACAGATGCTGGAGAGGATGTGGAGAAATAGGAACACTTTTACACTGCTGGTGGGAGTGTAAATTAGTTCAAACATTGTGGAAGACAGTGTGGCGATTCCTCAAGGCCTTAGAAATAGAAATTCCATTTGACCCAGCAATCCCATTACTGGGTATATATGCAAAGGACTAGAAATTGTTCTACTATAAGGACACATGCACATGAATGTTCATTGCAGCACTGTTTACAATAGCAAAGACCTGGAACCAACCCAAATGCCCATCGATGATAGACTGGACAGGGAAAATGTGGCACATATACACCATGGAATACTATGCAGCCATCAAAAATGATGAGTTCATGTCCTTTGTAAGGACATGGATGAATCTGGAGAACATCATTCTCAGCAAACTGACACAAGAACAGAAAATGAAATACCGCATGTTCTCACTCATAGGCGGGTGATGAACAGTGAGAACACATGGACACAGGGAGGGGAGCACTACACACTGGGGTCTATTGGGGGGAATAGGGGAAGGACAGCGGGGAGGGGGGAGCTGGGGAGGGATAGCCTGGGGAGAAATGCCAGATGTGGGTGAAGGGGAGGAAGACAGCAAATCACACTATCATGTGTGCACCTATGCAATTGTCTTGCATGTCCTGCACATGTACCCCAAAACCTCAAATGCAATAAAAACAAAAAAAATGTGCTATTCTTTTCTCACTCATTGATGTTCCGCTTTTCTTCTTATCTAATGTACATAAAGATATGTATTCTTTTTAAGCGTGGCTCTGTAATCCAAAATTTTGTTTATGTTAATTTCATTCAGTTCAATATATGTTGTCATTTGTATTGTGATTTCTTCTTGACCCCTGGTTTATTTCATAGGAGAACTGCTTAAGGTTCAGGCTCCAGATCGTCTTTTTGTCATCCGGATGTTCGGCATTGTGTGTGCCTCGTGTGACTGCAGTTCTTTCAAACTTAGACACCTGCTCTATGACCCAGACTATGGCCACCTTTTTAAAGGTTTTTGTATTCATGAGAAGAACATGCATTTATGCAGTCAGTGAGCAGAGTCTTTATATGTGCTCGGCTCACTTTTACTATCTGGGTTATTCTTGGGCTTTTTAGGGGGCTGTGGTGGGGGTGGGGGGACAGGGTCTTGCTCTGTTACCCAGGCTGGCATGCAGTGGCATGATCACAGCTGAGGCCTAAGCTCTGATGTTTTTATCTTGCCCAAATTCCTACCTAAGGGGTCTAGGTAGTCACGCCCTACAAACCATAAGTTCTCAACAGATGGATTTTATTTGACCCTGTATATCATGACTTTCTTTCAGTCTGACTCTGATGTAACGTTATGAGTCAAGAAAAGGATATTTAATCCCAAAATATATTTCCTTGTCGTACCTTGAAATTTCCCTGCAAAATCTCTTGTGGGAAAAGTCCACACTGCAGAGAATCCTCTTTCCCCTTTGTTTTCTTCATTTCTTTCCAGATCCAGCAGATAATCAGCCAAGAGCCAGGCACCCTTTTGGGATGGATAAGAAACATTTTGCAACCTGCTGTCTCTGGAAGTCTGCTATCTGAGAGATTCCTCTGCTCAAGAAAACTTTGTACTTTATCTTAATCTGAACATTCCTTTTCACTGATCCCATATAAACTGGATTTAGATAAACTCATGGTCAACCAGAAAATGTTTAAATTCATCTATAGCCTGAAAGCTCCCACTTTGATTTCTCCTGCCTTTCTGAACTAAACCAATGTATTTGACGGCTCCTGCTTCCCTAAAACATGTAAAACCAAGCAGTACCCTGGCCACCCGGGGCACATGTTCTCAGGACCTCCTGAGGGCTGTGTCGTGGGCCGTGGGCACTCACACTTGGCTCACAACGAATCTCTTAAAATGTTTTACCGAGTTTGACTTTTTTCATTGACACAGCTCATTGCAGCCTTGACCTTCCAGGCTCGAGCAATCCTTCTGCCTCAGCCTCCTGAGTAGCTGGGACCATAGGCGTGCACCATCGTGCCTGCTCATTTTATGTTTGTAGAGATGGGGTCTCACTATGTTGCTCTGACCGGTCTAGTGATCCATCCGCTTCAGCCTCTGAAAGTGCTGAGATTACCGGCATGAGCCACCATACCCCGTCTTGTTGAAATCTTATGTAAACTTGATGTGCTTTTTTTTGTCTGCTCATTTCATCAGCGGCTGAGAGAGGTATGTTGGGATTTCTCACTGTGATTGTGGATTTATTACTCTTATCATTCTTTCAAATTTTGCTTTAATTATTTTGAGACCATATTGTTAGAAGAATCAAACTTTTGATTTAGTGTATCTCCCTGGGAGGTTAAATCTATTATTACTAGGGAGTGAGCGTCTTTGAGACAGGGTCTTGCTGTGTTACCCAGGCTGGAGTGCAGTGGTGTGATCGTGGCTCACTGCACCTTGACCTCCTGGGCTCAGGCGATCCTCCCACCTCAGCCTCCCTAGGAACTGGGACCACTGGCATGTACCACCATGCCGGGCTAATTATTTTAAATGTTTTGTAGTGTTGTCACTGCGTTCACCAAGGCTGGTCTCAAACTCCTGGACTCAAGCATTCCTCCTGCCTGAGCCTCCGAAAGGTTTAGGATTGCAGGCATGAGCCGCTAAAAAAATCTCTTGTCATGCTCTATGACCCACGGTCTAACCTGTAGATGTAAACAAGGCTATATTAGCTTTTTGGGGTTACAGGAGTGGAGTCCTGCCTTCTCTGCAGAGGCCGTGTGTCAGGAGCCCCAGTGGATGCCTGAAACTGGGATGGCATCAAGCTTTACGCATACGAGGTGTTTTTCTATCTTAACAACTGAGGTGGCTACTAAGTGACAAGTGGGGAGTGTGGAGACACTGGGTAAAGGTACAGCTCACCTGTTAGGCAGCACTGGGCAGGATGCGGTGGGAACTTGTTCATTTCTGGAATTTTCCATTTAATATTTTTGGAGTATGGTTGACCACGAGTAACTGAAACTGCGGAAAGCAAAATCCGCTAAGGAGGGACTCCTGTATTTTCTTGTGATGTGTCTTTCTTTCTTTCTTTTTTTTTTTCTGAGACAGAGTTTCGCTCTTGTTACCCAGGCTGGAGTGCAATGGTGCGATCTCGGCTCACTGCAACCTCCGCCTCCTGGGTTCAGGCAATTCTCCTGCCTCAGCCTCCTGAGTAGCTGGGATTACAGGCACGTGCCACCGTGCCCAGCTAATTTTTTGTATTTTTAGTAGAAACGGGGTTTCACCATGTTGACCAGGATGCTCTCGGTCTCTTGACCTCGTGATCAACCCGCCTCAGCCTCCCAAAGTGCTGGGATTACAGGCGTGAGCCACCACGCCCGGCTGTGTTTGATTTTTTTTGCTTAGGGCATGATTCTTTTAAGACTCATACATGTTTTACATATTTCAGTCAATTTTAAAAATTATGGGGTAGTATTTCATTGCATGGATATAACCAAATTTTTTATTGGCTCACCATTAAATGCATATTTGATTTCTTACACATTTTTGGTTTCTATGAAAAAGGCTGTTCCGAACAGTTGATTCGACGTGGACATATATCTTTATTTTCACCTGGATAAATACTCAAGAGTGGGGTTGCTGGTCAAAACAGTAAGTATCTGGAAATTTTATAAGAAATTGCCGAACAGTTGTTCCAAGTGACTGGGCCATTTTGCATTTCAGCATCGATATTTGAAGGTTCCAGTTGATTCCTATCCTTGTTAGCACTTGGAATTGCCAGTCTTTCTATTTTAGCCATTCTCATGGGTGTATGTGGGATGTTATTACGCTTTGAAATTTTAGCACTCCGGTGACTAATGATGTTGGACCTTTTCTCATGTTCTTATTTGTTATCTGTATATCTTCTATAGCAAAGTGTTCGTTTATATGTTTTACTGATTATTAATTGGGTTATCTGCATTATTATGGACTCACGGGGTTCTTTATATATATTGATATTTATGAATATTTTCTCCCAGTAGTGGCTTGCCTTTTCATTTTTCTTCGCAATGTCTTTTGTTTTATTTTTGCTTCATTTCATTATTTAATTTATTTATTGAGACAGGGTCTCAGTCTGTGGCCCAGGCTGGAGTGCAGTAGTGTAATCATAGCTCACTGCAGCCTTGACCTTCTGGTCTCAGGCGAGCTTCTCAACTCAGCCTCCCAGGCAGCTGGGATTACAGGTGTGCATCGCCACGCCAGGATGCTTTGTAAATTTTCTGTGGAGATTGGGTCTCCTGACACCCTTCAATGGTGATCGGAGTGTTAGTTTTCCTTTTTCGTTTCTTTATGAATGTATGGATTTAATATACTTGATCTGTTTTAGCCCACTGCAGTGATTTTGCTTTTTGATGCCCAGATTGTCCCATCCTTGGCCAGGAATGGCGTCTTCAGCTTTCCAGATTCTGACATAGCTCCAGCAGGGGTTCAAGTGTTGACGGTTTTCTTTCTCCCCCCGGCGTGTGTATCTAGACGTGAATGCGCATAGCTTTCTCCTCTGTCCAGGCTCCTCTGTACCTTTGCTGCTCTGAACCTGGAATCTGTCGAGCCTGGTTCTTTTAGTGGGACATGGCACTTTGAGACTGTAATATGGGTGCTCATTCCCACTACTCTGGCTAGTTATTTCTAGACGTTTTCAGTAGAATGATCCATTTTTAATGAAAAGTGCATTTTCATACTGAGGTTTCCAGTTCTTCAGGAGCGCAGGCTTTCACTTCGCAGCTGTGCTGTTGTAATCCTTTTCTCTTAGGCACAAACACCCTGATTTTTAACCACTGACTAAAATTCTTGTTTGTTTTTTCTCGTAAAATATGTACGGTTGCTTCAGAATAACAGAACCCAGACAGAGCTATTGCTGCCGGTATGATCAGGACAAGCAGGGCAAGGCTTCCCTGCTGCTCTTCCGTCCCCAGGGCTCAGCCCAGTGACGTGCACTCCCCCCACGCGTGCAGGCTCAGGGGACGGTTCCTCTCTGGGTGATCCACCACCTGGACGTAGGGCTGCATCCAATTGCTTTATTTTGCTTTCTTGGGATTCTGTTTTTAATATCTTTCTTTCATTTTGTTTTTAATTATGCAAAACATTACATTGTTCCAAAGCCAAATCTAGAAAACAAGGTCCAGACAGAGGAGTCCAGCTTGGACCCCTTTCTCCCCCATCTTGGTTCCTCTCTTACCACCCGTGACCTTTTCATAGCTTGGGGCTCATCTCTGCAAAGCAGGAGCAATGCGCACATACGCTCCTTTCCTGTGGGTGGGAGCCGCCCCCTGCGGTGCCCCCTGGGGTGACCACGCTGCCGTGTTCTTCTCCTGGAGGCCGACTTGGTCTCTTCATGCAGCTGCAGAGGAAGCACTGAGGATGTGGGCACTTCCCATTTGCTGGTGATCTTTGGGCAGCCTTCCTAGAAGTAGGATTGTCTGGTCAAAAAGTAGTTTATATTGAAATCAGACTTCGTAAGGCCTGACTGTGCTGCGTCCTGTGGACACTCCCTTATTTAACCTTGGTGTTACTATTATTATAATTTGCTCTTAGACATACTGCTGCGGTGAACACGTTTGTGGTTGCTTCTGTGATGATTTCCTTACAGTGGGTCCCGGAAGCAGAAGCATGGGGTCCTAGGCATCGCCCCTGTGGCCTCAGCATCATCACGGGGGCTGTTTTCTCCTTCTGCTTCCCTGCCCACGGCCCCTTCTCTTGCTCTGCCTCCGTGTTTTTCCCAGCCCATCTGATCCAGTGATTGACGCCTCCTCAGGGGCTCTCTGAAGCTCCTAGAGTAAACATGCAGCCTCCTTGCTATGCCTACCAGGCCCTCCAGTCCTGCCTGGCACCTGCTTATGGCCCAACCTCACCTGTTATTTCTCTCCACCTCCGTCCCTCTGAGCCACCTCGGAAACAGTCCCAGTGCCCAACTCCCTTGCAGAGCAGAGCAAGCCCGAGCATGCTTTACTTCACTTCATTTTCTGCCTCCTCTTCCAGGCTGCAAGCTGCTCCTGGGCAGGGGCCTTATGAAGCCGCGCATCCCCAGCACCCAGCCCTGGGCTTGTAGCCGGAGATGCTCAGGCGGCGTGTTGCATGGGTGGTATATTAGGCCATTCCCACGTTGCCTAATGAAATGCCTGAGCTGGGTAATTTAGAAAGGAAAGAGGTGTCATGGCTCATGGTTCTGCGGGCTGTGCAGGAAGCATGGCCGGGATGGCCTCAGGAAGCTTCCGGTTATGACAGAAGGTGAACGGGGAGCAGGCAATCACATGGTGGGGCAGCAGCAAGCAGGGGTCAGGGGGTGTGGGGGAGGAGCCACACACTGTTAAGCAGATCCTGTAAGAACGCCCTGAGGGCAGCACCATGACGCTAAAGCGTTCATGAAGGATCCACCCTGTGATCCACCTGGAACACTGAGGATTACAGTTCAACTTGACATGTGGGCGGGGACACAGATTTGAACCATCTTAGGTGGAGACCTCCGAGGTGGGGGTGTTCCTGTTTCACGGATGGCATGAGCGTGTGGGCCCTGGGAGGGAAGCCGCCCTGCCGCCCACTGTCGCTGCCTCGGCGCCTTTTCCTGTGCCGTCTCTGCCCACCGTGCCCTCCAGGTGTCCTTCAACGCTGCCATCTCAGGAAGGTGCGCCTCCCCTGGGCAGCAGGCCCCTTCTGCGCTCCCTGCCCTGGGCACCTGGCAGTGGCCGCTCACTAGTTGTGTGTGAGGCCCTCCTGGGTGCTTTCTTTCTCTCCTGCACGTGGCCTTTGCCACCCACATGCAAGGGCCTGGGAGCGGCTGGGTTCCCAGAAGCAAGCATTGGCTCCCCTTCTTCCTCTGTCCGGTTTCTCCTTCCCCTCCCTCCTCCTCCCCTCCTCCCCTTGGCCTCCTCTCCCACTCTTCCCTCTTTTCTCCTTCTCTTCCTTTCCTCTGTCTCTTCCTCCCTCTCCTGCCCCTTCTTGGGTCACACCTGACCTGCTGCCTGCACTTCCTCCCCACGCACTGCTGCCCCAGCCTGTTGGGGGGTTTGGGCTGGGCTCCCTGGATTGAACCCACACCTGGCGTCTCTGACACGCTTTCACCTTGAGACCTCCATCATGTCCTCACCTTCTCAGAGGCCACGGAGACCTCCCCACCACCCTCCGTGTTGTCTGTGGAGTACCCTCCTTCCTGCCCCTCAGGAGAGCTGGTGGGCCTCGCTCCCGGGGCAGCACAGCCCAAGCCTCCAGGGATGTGTGCTGGGAGAATGGACGCATTTCTTGGGGAATGTTTCTGCTCTGGGCGTTCCTGTGCCTGTGCGGACCTGATCGCAGCACGCCGCTGGGCTGTGCCATCTCTCCTTGGCCTGTTGTGCTTCCTCGGCAGGGGCTGTACAAAGCGGACCAGCGGTTCGGGCCAGGCGTCGAGACCTACCCTGACGGCAGCCAGGATGTGGGGCTGTGGTTCCGGGGGCACCTCATCAAGCTGTGCACCCAGAGCCCTGGCGGCTTCTCCCTCCTCGGCTACCCTGAGTTCTCCAGCGTCCTCAGCCACAGCCCTGCGAGGATCAGCCTCTCAGATGAGGAGGAGACAGAGTGGGGACCGCAGGAGGGACAGGACCCCTTTTCCTATGAGTACAAGCGGCTGCTTCTCCACGACGACCTGACACTGCCTCCAGAGATGTATGTCTACTCCACCGACAGTGAGCACCTGCCCGGGACCAGCTCTTTCCGCCGAGAGCTGGACGCCCGCCTCTTCCTCAGCGACATCCCTCCGTTCGTTGAGGATGAAGAACCCTGGCTCATAACCAACGAGACCCCTTTGTTGGTCAAAATCCAGAAGCAAACTTACAAGTTCAGGTGACCAGTCTCTACTGCTCTTCCCCCAGAGCCCTGCATGGCGCAGGCCACTCCTAGGCAGGCTCCTGAGGCCCTCGGCCGGCTGCCACTGAGGCTGCTCCCTCAGGTGACCTAAACTCGCCCCTCCCATGAAGTGACTGATGTGGGCGGTAATGAAGTGGGAGGGGGAAGGCCCTGCCGGCTGGCGCTGGGAGCAGGTGGGCCCTGGGGCCCTGGATGTCTGTGCAGGGGAATGGGGGTCTCAGGATCCCACCCACCCACTCTTGGGGATAGGAGTGATCAGGAGGTGGCCTGGTGAATGTGCAGCCAGGTGGAACCTGGGGGATGTGGCTAGGGAGAAGCTCCTGAGTCCATGCAGCTGAGGGTGAGTCCTGGGCCTGGGCACTGTGCATTTCCCTCGTGCAGGCCGTAGCTAATGCCCTGCCCCACCATTGCAGCGGGCCTTAGGTGTTCTGTGGGCCAAGTCTCCTGGCAGGGTTGACATGGAGAGCAGGGTTTTTGTTATGACTGTATGAGGTGGTGAGGGATGCCTGAGAGCCAAGGGTAGGAGCACAGGGCAGTAGTGGTGTTGCGGCCCAGCCAGGCCTTTGATTTGTCCGAGGATGGTGTGAAAAAATTCTCTGCTCTGTTGGTCTTTGAAAAACCCTCTTACCCTACCCAGAGCCTCAAGAAAGTCAGCCACCCAAGGAGAAGTGTTTAATGCTTTTTTTTTGAAACAGTCTTGCTCTGTTGTCCAGGCTGGAGTGCAGTGGCATGATCTCGGCTCACTGCAACCTCCGCCTCCCGGGTTCAAGCAATTCTTCTGCCTCAGCCTCCTGAGTAGCTGGGACTACAGGCGTGTACCACCATGCCCAGCTAATTTTTGTATTTTTAGTAGAGACGGGGTTTCACCATGTTGGCCAGGGTGTTCTCAATCTCCTGACCTCTTCATCTGCCCACCTTGGCCTCCCAAAGGCCTCCCACTGCACCCTGCTAAATTGTTTAATTTTTTAGTTAAAATATTCAAGAACACTTTAATTTCTTTCCTAAACATTGACCTCAGATGTCAATAAACTGTTTCAGAATGCGTATTTTCCGAGAATAAGTGGCTGCTTTTCATTCATCAGTCCATCCACCCACCCACTCAATCACCCAGCCACCTAGTATCCATTCATGCATCAATGCACCTATTGCAACATCCATTCATCCAGGCATTCGTTCATCTACCCACACATCTACCCACCCACCCACCCATCCAGCAATCCACCCATGCAACACCCATTCATCCCGGCATCCATTCATCCACCCACATACCCACTCATTCATCCACCCACCCACCTACCCATCCAGCAATCCACCCATGCAATGCCCATTCATCCAGGCATCCATTCATCCACTCATCTACCCACATACCTACCCATTCATCCACCCACCCAACTATCCATCCAGCAATCCACCCATGCAACACCCATTCATCCAGGCATCCATTCATCCACCCACCCACCCACCTATCCATCCACCCACCTATCCAGCAATCCACCCATGTAACACCCATTCATCCAGGCATCCATTCATCCACCCACATACCTACTCATTCATCCACCCACCCACCCACCCATCCATCCCTCAATCTACTTATGCAGCAGTCATCTACTACCCACCCACCCATCGATTCATCCATCAATCCATCCATGCACTATTTATTCATCCAGCCATCCACTGATTTACCCACCTGCCTACCCATTCATCCACCTGACTACCTGTCTATCCATCTATCAATCTATTCATGTATCATTCATCCACCCACCCATCCATTCATCCATCAACCCACCAATGCAGCACCCATTCATCCACCAGCCCACTCAGCCATGTGTTCATACACTCACCCATCCATCCATCCTCCCACCCACCCATCCGTTTATCCACCCACCCACCCATCCATTCATCCATCAGTTCACTCATGCAACATCCATCCTCCCACCCAACCATCCATCCTCCCACCCACCCATCCGTTCATCCATCAGTTCACTCATGCAACATCCATCCAGCCACCCAACCATCCATCCTCCCACCCACCCATCCGTTCATCCATCAGTTCACTCATGCAACATCCATCCAGCCACCCAACCATCCATCCTCCCACCCACCCATCCGTTCATCCATCAGTTCACTCATGCAACATCCACCCACCCACCCAACCATCCATCCATCATGGTGGGCTTGTGATTGTTGAAGACTGTTAGGTACAGAAGCAACTGTAATGCGTAGGTTCTTGATTGTGAAACGGGGCTGTGTACACATCAGGAGGCATCAGTGCTGTGTGGTGAGTAAGTCATGAGAGATGCGTGTTGTCTATTCAGACAAAAGTGGATGAGCAGAGGGCGGAACGTGGGTGTTGGTGCTGAGACTGGACCCACGTGTATGCTGGTCTCCTTCCTACCCAGGGCCTTTGCTGTGACAGCCCATTTCCCAGCAAGCACCCAGTGACCCAGATGAATCAGAGATGTAGGGGTGTGCTGGCAGCCAGCACAGTCCTGCTGGGACAGAAATAGAGCCCGAGCATCTTGACCTCTAGGTGGTGTGCACCCTAGTGGATCATGAGCAGCTGGGGGTGCAGCCGCCAGCACCCAGGGTGCCTGAAGAGTGAGCACAGGGGTTGGGGCTGAGCCATAAGAAGGAGAGGCGCTGAAGGGAGGTGGCTCAGCTGGGCCCTTTCTCATGGGAGGTGCTGAGTGGTGTAGAACCTGGTCCAGGCCCATTGAAACTTGCTGTGTTGCCAGGAACAAGCCAGCTCACACCAGCTGGAATATGGGCGCCATCCTGGAGGGGAAGCGCAGCGGCTTTGCACTCTGCGGGCCCAAAGAGCAGCTTGCCATGGAGATGATCGTAAATGCTGAGGAAGGGAACCATGGCTGGATTTACGGGGTCCTGAAGGACGACTTGGCCAGTGCTGACGTGGCGGACGCAAAGGGCTACACTGTGCTCGCTGCGGCTGCTGTGAGTCCCCCACCCACACTGGCTGGTGCCTGCAGGAGCTCAGCTGTGGAGGTCACGCATGTGGGTGGCGCTCTGTGGTCCCCTCTGCAGAAGTAGAGCCGAAGTATGTGGGGACACTGATGTGTACACACCTCCACCTCACCGTTCAGTGGAAACCCCTTCAGCTGAGCGTGACACTCAAGGTCCAGTGGAGAAGGGCTTGGGGCACAGTGCCCATTCCACTCGTCTGTCCCACACTCATCCCTTTGCCAAGCGCCCAAATGAGCACCAGTTCCTGCCCTGCCAGCGGGTGGCCTCCTGAGGGTAGCAGGATGCCCAGTGACCCTTCTCACCCCTGAGGGCCAGGTGCATCCTCCTGAGTCCTGCCCCGTCTCCCTGCAGACTCATTGCCACGACCACATTGTCAACCTTCTCCTGGACTGTGGGGCCGACGTGAACAAGCGCTCAGACGAGGGCCTCACGCCACTCAGCATGTGTTTCCTCCTGTACTATCCTGCCCAGTCCTTCAAGCCCAACATTGCTGAGCGGACCGTGCCCAAGCCCCAGGTCAGCCCCCCATGGCCACCACGCCACCCACTGTCCCCTGCTGGCTCCTCCCTCTAAGTGTCCACCAAGCCTGCTCTCTCCTCCTGTGTGGACCAGGCTTATTATACAGGGTGAGTTACAAGACAAGTCAGGGAGTGGGCAAGAGAGACAGAGCCTGCGCATCTCCTAAGGCACCCTGAGCTCCACCACAGATGCCCAGGGATGTGTGTTCTTTACAGGTCACCTGCACAGCAGCCTGGGGCCCTGAGACTTGCCCTGCCAGTGCTGTGGAGGGAGGGCGGGCATCTGTGACAACGCCCCCAAGGTGGGGGCCAATCTGCATGCCTAACAGTTTCCTGGCAATACCGATGTTACCGAAACACCAGGGGTTCAGTCTTGGTCCTGCTGCTTGCCACATAGAAAGCCAATCACTGAGATGTCAGGTATTGCTAAGGAAGAGGCTGTCACTGGGCTGCACCCAAGGAGCTGGGAGCTCATTCGCAGTCCGTCTCCCTGATTGACTAAAACCGGGAGTTTATGTAGCAGGGAACAAGTGTAACAAAGTGTGAGAAAACAGGAGCTGGGGCGAGGCAAGGCGGCATCTGCTGTGGTGATCTGGTGGGCTTCAGTTCTCTGACGCTTCCTGAGGGTCCTTTCCTGACAAAGGAACTCAGATAAAATAAATACGGGTTTCAAGCTTTAGCAGAAGAACTAGAGCTGTTGTGTAATAGTGAGAGAACAATAGGTTGTGGGCCTTAAAATAATAGAATAATAAAGTAGGAAGGATTTCTATGTTTATCCAAAAACGACCGTCTATGGGACTCTTGGGCGGTTTGACCAGTGCCACTGGTCCAGGGACCACGCTTTGGGACCCATGGCTCAAAACACAAATGGATCAAGGGCAGTGTCGTGTAACAGAAATTCAATGTGTAATTAAAATCTGGGAGGTAGCCACATGAAAAAGTAAACCAGGTGGAATTAATTTTAGTTATATATTTCATTTGAATGTATTCAAAATCCAGTCGTGCTGGTGTGTGATCAGTGTAAGCCACACCATCAAGCCGTTTGCCTTCTTTTCCCAACCTCTCCTTCACTCCTAAGCACCTGGCTGTGGGCGGGCCACGTTTTGTGAGCAGCCACGCACAGGGCCACGCAGCCTGGGGTGTGGCCTGGTCAGGCGCAGGCTTCTGCGCGATGCATTCACGGGTGGGGGAGCTTTTCTCCTTGGGGGTTTGAGGACAGCTGCCCTGGTCTTCTCAGCCTGGGCACCCGGACGACAGCTCCAGGCCATGGGCATTGGTCCTTGCTGAAGAAGGTCCTAGAATGAGGTTTTCACTGGAATTTCTTCTAATGATACTTCTTTGGTTCTTTGCAAAGGAGCCTCCACAACTTGCAGTTGCTCCAATGCTTTCATCATCGTTCACGGACACAAGCCTGGAGTCTCTGAACTATGAGGTGGACGTGCCCTCGCAGGGTAGCTGTGAGCTGAGGCCACACGTCTTGGGCAGCCAGGAGCGCAGCCTCTCCCAGGGCACCAGGCAGTCTGGGAACTCTGTGGACCAGAGGAGCGGCTCTCTGAACGGGGACTCGCCACTGGTGAAGGGCAGCCTCGGCCACGTGGAGCGTGGGCTCGAGCACGTGCTGGGAAACACAGACCAGTACACTCCGTGCAGCACCGAGACGAACCTGGAGTCCAACGTGTGTGTGTGCAGCTTCCCCATCGAGCTCTCGCAGGCCATGCTGGAGAAGAGCGCCCAGTCCCACAGCCTGCTGAGGAGGGCCTCGCCCTCGCTGTGCACCAGCAGCTCCGACAAAGGGAACATAAGGAGGATGGCGCTGTCCATGGTTGAGTAGGTCCTGGCGCCGGCTGGCAGGGGAGGGCCACTACTGGGGCTGACTCCTATGCGTGGTGGACCCGCGTCTCTTTGTGCCAGTGGGAGGCATTGTGTCCAGAGACGTGTCTGAATGTGTGAGCATCCCTGTGTTGGTGGCCCCATGCCATGCCCAGGCCTGTGGGGGTGCCATAGTGATGGGCCATTTTCAGAGCCACCCCACCCCTGCTGTGGCCTTTGGCATTGGCCTGAAGTGTCTCTATGGGAGCCTCAGCAGGGGCCACTGCTGGAGGTCCTATCCTAGCCGTGGTGCCTGTGAGTGACACCTGCCTGGGGAGCCCACACACTCCTGCTGCCCACCCTTTCTAGACCAGAGGGTCTCAAATGTGGTCCACGCACCCCTGGCAGTCCAGTCCACATGCTGTGTGATGTGTCTGTGTGTGGCTGTGTGCTGTGTGCATGTGTGTTCTCTGGTGTGGCTTGTGTTTGGTTGCTGTGTGTACATGTGTGTGCGTTGGTGTTGCTTGTGTAACCGGTTGTGTGCTCTGTGAGTGGGTGTGTGCTGTGTGCTGTGTGGGGTGTGTGCTGCGGTGTGTGTGTGCTCTGGTGTGGTTTGTGTATGTGTGTGTGCTGTGTGCATGTGTGTGCTCTGGTGTGGCTTATGTTTGTGGTTTTGTGTGTGTGTGTGCTGTGTGTGTGTGCTATGTGTGTTCTCTGGTGTGGCTTGTGTTTGGTTGCTGTGTGTACATGTGTGTGTGTTGGTGTTGCTTGTGTAACTGGTTGTGTGCTCTGTGTGTGGGTGTGTGCTGCGGTGTGTGTGTGCTCTGGTGTGGTTTGTGTATGTGTGTGTGCTGTGTGGTATGTGTGGGTATTGCTGTGGGGCGGTGTGCTGTGTGTGTGCTATGGTGTGGCTTGTGTGTGTGGTGTGTGTGTGCTGTGTGCTCTGGTGTGGTTTGTGTATGTGGTGTGTGCTGTGTGTGTGTGTGCTCTGGTGTGGTTTGTGTATGTGTGTGTGCTGTGTGGTATGTGTGGGTATTGCTGTGGGGCGGTGTGCTGTGTGTGTGTGTGTGTGCTATGTGTGTTCTCTGGTGTGGCTTGTGTTCGTGGTTTTGTGCTGTGTGTGTGTGCTGTGTGTGTGTGCTATGTGTGTTCTCTGGTGTGGCTTGTGTTTGGTTGCTGTGTGTACATGTGTGTGCGTTGGTGTTGCTTGTGTATGTAACTGGTTGTGTGCTCTGTGTGTGGGTGTGTGCTGCGGTGTGTGTGTGCTCTGGTGTGGTTTGTGTATGTGTGTGTGCTGTGTGCATGTGTGTGCTCTGGTGTGGCTTGTGTTTGTGGTTTTGTGCTGTGTGCTGTGTATGTGGTGTGTGCTGTGGTGTGGCTTGTGTGTGTGGTGTGTGCTGTGGTGTGGCTTGTGTGTGCTGTGTGTGTGCCGTGTGCTGTGTGTGTGCCGTGTGGTGTGTGTCGTGTGGTTGCGGCACACACATAACCTCCATGCGCCCCTCCCCGGCCTCCTCGCTGGCTTGGCCCGTCCTGGGCGCCGTGCGGGCGGCCGGCCTTGCGGCCTGGGTGCCGGCCCTCCGGGGGCCCACGAGCGCAATGGCTTTTCCAGGCGGAAGAAGCGCTGGCGGACCATCCAGCTGCTGCTGCGCCGGGGCGCGGACCCCAACGTGTGCCGCGTGCCCATGCAGGTCCTGTTCCTCGCGGTGAAGGCCGGCGACACGGACGGGGTGGGGCTGCTGCTGGAGCACGGGGCGAGGACCGACATCCGCTTCCCCCCGCAGGTAGGAGCCGCGCGGACTCCGGGCCCGGGGCGTGGGCCGAGCAGGCGGAATCGCGGGGCCGGCGCTGGGCTGTGAGTGCTGAGGACGGCGCCGGAGCCCGCTGTCCCCCCAGGTCCCCAGGCAGGATTTGAACGCCCTGCTGCTTTTCAGGGTATCTCACGACGCTTGTCATCTTTTCCCAGCGTTGGAGCAAACTTAGGGAAGCGCGTTCTGAAGGCGCCTGGGGAGGGGAGACCGTGCCCGGCAGGCGGCGGCCCGTGCGCTCCGGCTCAGCGTCGTCGGGTCACCTGCGGCGGCGGCAGAGGGTTCTGCGGCTCAGCCCCTCTCTGGCCCGACGGCCCCCGCCAGCGGCATGTTTAGCTGAGAGACCCTGTGAAGGGGAATCCGACTGTGTGTGTTGTTTCTCGGGCACCGGGAGCCCCGCGCGGCTGCGCCTTTCCCGGGCGGCGGCTTCACGGGCGTTTTCCCCGAGTCCACCCGCTGCTGGGCCTTTGAAGCAAGTTCAGTGTTTCTGCCGTTTCACTGGGGACTCGGGGCTTTGCGGGTTTAGCTTGTTCAAACAACTCTCCTCCCCCCCCCCCCCACCGCACCCCGGTGGCCTGCAGCCCCCCACCCTCCACCGCAGCACAGCTGCTGGAAGCGCGTCCTTCCCGAATTTCCAGCCTTCTGGAACCGAATCAGTCCCCGCCCGTGGCTGCTCCTCCCCGGAGGGAAGGCTGAGGGCGAGGCCGGGCGTCCCCGGCTGATCCCGTCAGTCCCCCGGGGGCCGTCGGGGTGCGCAGGGGACCCACCGAGGTGCAGGGTTGACGGCAAGCGCGGGCCTGCTGCGGCGTTTCCTCTTCGCTTTAACATGACGTTCTCCGCTGCGGTTCATCCCTTGTCTGAACTCTTGTCATTCTTTGTATTTTGAAGGGCCCTACAGCTATTTCTCTAAGATCTAGACTAAGACCGTCACCATTTCCCGTTCACTGCATCCACTCATCCGCACTGGAGAAACGACTGCTGTCCACAGTGGCCAAGAACATTCCAGATGGGTGACGAACTGGCACCAGGGCCACCTTTGGGTGCCCCCAGAACGGGGGGCGGGGGTCTGGCCACTTCTGTGAAATTTGCCCGTAGTATTTTTTCTTCTCCGGTTACATACACGCTCATTCATCGTTTCAGCCCTTTGCTTTCCTCACAGGGTACTGATGGGGTGAGAGCTGATGGCTCTCTCTGGGCACCAGCCTTGCCAGCTGTCGCTCGGCCGGCATGGAGTGTTTGCGGGCAGGTGGGTCTCCCTGTCCAGGCCCCTAGTGTCCAGGCTTTCAGCCTGGTAATTAAACTTTGCTTCCAAGTGTCAGGTTACACAGAAAACAGAATTTCTGGTTTAAGACTCAGGATAATTTCATAACTTTTTGGGTCACACCCTTTAAACGGGGCGCCAGCATGCTTCACTTCCTCATTTGTTCATTCATCTGTTAATTGCTGATTGGGAACATATTATTTACACATTTATCTTTCAAACAGAAAGTTTTTAAAATTAAAATATTTCAGGGGGTTCAGAAATGAGCATGTTACCCAAACACCAGGGCTTCTGTCCAGATCCTGCTGCGCACCGCACAGATCAGTGAGACGAGCTCTGCCAGGAAGGAAGGCTTTGGTCGGGTGCTGCAGCGGGGAGAACGGAAGAGCGTTCTCAAATTCGTCTCCTCGACTGACTAAAACCGGGGGTTCGTAAAGCAGGGAAGACCTGTAACCATGTGTGCGGAAACACGAGTTAGGAGTGCGAAGGCAGAAGAATTGGCCAACAGGAAGCAGCTGGTCCCACAGGCAGTCACGATGGATGAGGGATCGAGGGCCTCACTGTCCAGATGCTGTGATCCAGTGACTCTCTGTTCCTTGGTGCTGTTTAGGAGGCCTGCTCGTGTCTTTCCTGAGAAAGGAGCTCAGATAAGGCCAATGTAACTTTCTCAAGTTTTAAAGAATGGGAGGGTTAATGTTTATCTTTATTAAAAAGAAACCATAAGCATCAGTTCTGTGGGACTGTTGGGCCAGTTCCACCCCCATTAGTCAGTTCCTCCATCATGAGGAATCAGGAAACCATAAGCATCAGTTCTGTGGGACTGTTGGGCCAGTTCCACCCCCATTAGTCAGTTCCTCCATCATGAGGAATCAGGCTGTGGGTCTTTGGCTGCTTCGTGCTGAGGAGGGGCCTGTGGGCAGCTCCATACCATTGGTGACCATGTGGCCAACCCAGGAGTCCAAAGTTAATCTGATACTAGATTTTTTTTTCTGAAACACAGTCTTTCTCTTTCCAGTCCTCCACTTCCACCAAACGCAAATCACAGCAAGACCAACCTACCTGCAAAGTAAGCTTCAGTCCCATATACGTGGCCTGATTACCTACACAAGGTGCAGGAAGAATTATTGTCTTTTTTTTTTTTTCTTTTGAGACAGGGTCTCACTCTGTCACCCAGACTGCAGTGCAGTGGTGTAATCATGGCTCTCTGCAGCCTCGACCTCCCAGGCATGAGTGATCCTCCTACTTCAGCCTCCAGAGTAGCTGGGACATGTATCACCAGGCCTGGCTAATTAAAAAAAAAATTTTTTTAGAGACAGGGTCTCAGTATGTTGCCCAGGCTGGTCTCAAACTTCTGGACTCAGCAACCCTCCTGCTCTGGCCTCCCAAAGTGCTGGGTTACAGGCACGAGCCACTGTGCCCAGCCAAGAATCGTTGTCCATGCAGGCTCTCCTGAGTTGGCTTTGCGGGAACCTTTCACAGGGAATCTCAGACTCAACCTCAAAGGCCTCTCAAGCCAAGCTACGGTTCCATCTGTGCCTTCAGATCCCTGCGTGAATCGGGAGAGCTACTCTTTGCGAGGCCCCAAAACAACCAGCTACTCTGGAGGCTGAAGTAGGAGGATCACTCATGCCTGGGAGGTCGAGGCTGCAGAGAGCCATGATTACACCACTGCAGTGCAGTCTGGGTGACAGAGTGAGACCCTGTCGCAAAAGAAAAAAAAAAAGACAGTAATTCTTCCTGCACCTTGTGTAGGTAATCAGGCCATGTATATGGGACTGAAGCTTACTTTGAAGTTCCTGGGCCTGACAGAAAGTGACACGGTCCACTTATCCCAGGCCAGGAGGCATGCAAAGGGAGCCGCGTAGACAAGGTGTGAGGCCAGTTCTGAGAGCGCCCCATCGGCTCGTTAAAGCCAGTCTCCATCTCTCAAAGCAATCTGCCCCTTCTGAAAACGTGCCGTCCCAGCCAAAGCCCTGGGAGAGTGAGCAGCTCCTCCCACTGTGTCCCGTCACGAAATAAAGATGCCTCGTAAATGTACCCAAACAAACGCACGGCCACAGATTTAAAAACTGTGCACAGTTTCCAAATGCTGGAGAAGTCAGGCGCAGAGAGAAAAAAGCCTCAAATTCCGTTTGCAAGAGGACACTCTACTCAATCGTTAAAGGATGGGAGCAGCTCAAAGCAAAAGCTCTCCAGACTCTGAAAAATGAACCAAAAAGAACCAGCAGTGTTTCAGAAAAGCCACAAAAAACGGCTCCATTTCTCCCTTAGTTCAGTCCATGCAGTCACCTGCTGCTCTGCTTCGTACTGGGTTAGCAGTCATTCTGGGGTCAGCACCAACTTTTCTTTTCTTTTTTTTTTTTTTTTTTTGAGATGGAGTTTTGCTCTTGTTGCCCAGGCTGGGATTGCAATGGCATGATCTCAGCTCACTGCCACCTCTGCCTCCTGGGTTCAAGCAGTTCTCCTGCCTCAGCCTCCCAAGTAGCTGGGACTACAGACATACGCCACCACACCTGGCTAATTTTGTATTTTTAGTAGAGACTGGGTTTCGTGGTGTTGGTCAGGCTGGTCTTGAACTCCCAATCTCAGGTGATCCGCCTGCCTCGGCCTCCTAAAGTGCTGGGATTACGGGGATGAGCCGCTGTGCCTGGCGACACCAGCTTTTTGATTGGAGTCCTGGAAGTTTCCTCCCCAATGGCATAATCTCCAAAGTGATCAGAAACCTGCATCCAATAGTCCTTTCCATGAACTCCCCCAGAGAAGCAAGCCCTGGACTGTAGCTGATTGTAACTCACTTTTTGGAAAAAAATCAAAGCAAAGCAGTAATTGTGGATGACAAAAGTCTTAGGACAACCACAGCTGAAGACACAGTTGACAAGGAACTTGGGTTATTTCTGTGTCTTACAACAGTTTAACAGTAATTGTGATAACCCCTGAAACGTGTATTAAGACATCAGAATGTCAGGAATGTCACACAATCCTGGAACACACGTGAACAGCGCGCCTATATACATACAACCCAGAGAAAGTTGAACACACTTTGCATTTGACAGTGCTTTCTGGATAATTCTAACATACCAAATAAGCCTAATACGTCTCCCTTGGACTTTGGGGGCCCAATATCCCCCAAAGAGCTAGTTTGAGGTAAAGACAACTGAATTTAAAACTTGAAATTTTGCTTTTGGAGTTTCTCAAATATCAGAGGTTAGAGACACTTGATATTAACAAAACAAGATCGCAGGTCAGATAAAATCACCATTCCTTTAGCCAAAATAATTTCAGTGTTTCAACCCCCACCGCACAAAAACCTTTACTCCTTGATGGGAGAATCAGTTTCGCAAATAATAAGCCTAATGAAGACAGCGTGAGGCCTGCCGAATCCGCCTCTCTCTCCTTTCATTCTCCTGCAGCTTACTCAAAAGGTGAACAAAGCTTTTATTATCTCTTATTAATGTTACACAAAAATTTTATTGAAAAAAGAAAAGCATATTTACCCTTGTACAATGTATTACTAATGTTAAAACTAATTTTAATAAAAACTTGTAAACAAATTTATTTTAATCAGTTGAAACAGAAAGTAAGATTTACATAAAATGTTTATAACCTTTTACAATTTTCTGTTAAAGAGAAGATCAGAGCTCCAAGAAAACCCTATTATTTTGACACAGGGGTCCAGACACTGGCCTTATATCCATGTGCTTTTGATATTGTTTAATTTATAGAAAAACTCTGAGCTGATTTTATCCCTCACCACCACCCCTTGCAATCCCATGTGATCACCTCTTTTACGATAGTCTCTGGGCCCAGAAGAATCAAATAGTTTTCATTTCTGGCCCCGTGTCTTGCAAGAGCAGTTTGTGGGGATGGTCACCTTCTCCCAGGTGAGAAGTCGAGCAGTCGGCCAGCAGGAATCAGGTGGCAGATCCGGCTGTCAGGAAGGGCGGGGCGTCTGCAGTCTCACTCCTAGATGCCATGATCTGGTGCCTTCAGCTCTTCGATGCTGTCTGGGTCTGAGGGTTGGTCTCCTGAGAAAGGAGCTGAGATACAACAAACTTAACCTTCTCAAGTTTTTTTTTTTTTTTTTTCTAAAATTGTCCTTAGATACAATTTTCATTAAATTTAGAAATATATAGCTATATCTGTTTAACATTTGGCCACTTGTGCCATTAGTGAGAAATACCTACGGTGAGTGAATAGCTTAGTATGTCGCTAGAGCCAGCCAGTTCTTACCATGATCGCTAAAAAGGAATTGCAGTGTTAATTTTTGAGACTTTATTTGATTAGAGCTAAATGGTAAACAAGCTATAATACTGTTAGACATGGACAGCTATCTACAGACTAGTTTTTTTTAAAGAAAGGAAAAAAAAAAGGAGTGAAGGAGAGGAAGAAAGAGGAAGAAAAAGAGGGAGAGAGAACGGGAATGTAGCTTTATTCTAAACATGGGTATTAATAATGGCTGATCAATATTTTGTGTATTTAAAGTGGAGAGCTCTATAAATATTTATTGAGTTTACTTGTTCCGGATCGGAGTTCAAGTCCTGGATATCCTTATTAATTTTCTGTCTCATTGAGTCTAAATCTCTTTATGAGTCTTATGTATCTGGGTGTTAGGATCGTTAGCTCTTGTTGCATTGATCCTTTTACCACTATATCTTTGTTGCTTTAAAATCTATTTTATCAGATTAGAGAATTGCAACTCCTGCTTTTTATTTATTCATTTATTTTTGCTCTCCATTTGGTTGGTAAATCTTTCTCCATCCCTTTGTTTTGAGTCTTTATGTATCCTTGCATGTGAAGTGGGTCTGCATGTAGCATGCCGTTGGGTTTTGGCTGTATCTTTTGATTGGGGGATTTAGTCAACTTAAATTTAGGGTTACTGCCATTTGATGTTAACTGGCTGTTTTATCCATTCGTTGATGTAAATTCTTCTTTATGTTGATGCTCTTTACTTTTTGGTATATTTTTAGAAAGGCTAATACTTGTTGTTCCTTTCTATATATAATACTTCTTTCAGAAGCTCTTGTAAAGCAGGCCTGGTGGTAATAAAATCTCTGAGTACTTGCTTGTTCATAAAAGATTTTATTTTTCCTTCAGTTGTGAAGCTTAGTTTGGCTGGATATGAAATTCTGGGCTGAAAGTTCTTTTCTTTAAGGATGGTGAATATTGGCCCCCACTCTCTTCTGGCTTGTAGAGTTTCTGCTGAGAGATCTGCTGTGAATCTGATGGGCTTCCCTTTATGGGTAACCTGACCTTTCTCTCTGGCTGCCCTTAGTATTTTCTCCTTCGTTTCAGCCCTAGTGAATCTAACGATTATGTGCCTTGGGGTGGCTCTTCTTGAGGAATATCTTTGTGGTGTTCTCTGTATTACCTGGGGTTGAATATTGTCCTGCTTTGCTAGATTGGGAAAATTTTCCTGAATAATATCCTGAAGGGTATTTTCCAGCTTGGATTCATTCTCTTCGTCACATTCAGGTACACCTATCAAACGTAGATTAGGTCTTTTCACATAGTCCCATATTTCTTGGAGACTTTACTCATTCCTTTTCATCCTTTTTTCTCTATTCTTGTCTTCTCATTTTATTTCATTAAGTGGGTCTTCGACCTCTGATATCCTTTCTTCTGCTTGATCCATTCGGCTATTCAAACTTGTGCATATTTCACTAAGTTTTTGTGTTGTGTTTTTCAACTCTGTTAGTTCATTTATATTCCTCTCTATATTGTCTATTCTTGTTAGCATTTCGTCAAACCTTTTTCCAAAGTTCTTAGTTTCTTTACATTGGGTTAGAACAAGTTCTTTTAACTCCCAGAAGTTTCTTATCATCCACCTTCTGAAGCCTACTTCTGTTAATGGCACACAGTCCTTTTCCATCAGGGCTTGTTCCGTTGCTGATGAGGAACTGCAATCCCCTGTAGAGGGAGAGGGGTTCTGATTTTGGGTGTTCTCAGCCTTTTTAGCCTGGTTTCTTCCCTTTGTTATAAGTTTATCCATCTGTCCTCTTTATGATTACCACCTTTCTAATTAGGTTTCTGAGTGGATGCCCAGTTTATTGATTCCCAGCGCTGGAATCTGAGCAACCCACTGCGCCGGCCAAAACAGCAGCGATAAGACTGATGTTGCTCTTCTGCCCGGGAATCTCCTCCCGTTTACTCTGCACCAAGAGCTGCCACACCGAGGCGCCAGCAAAACCGCTGCGCCGGCCACAAGAGTCGCGCTGTCGACCCGTGGGGTCCCTCCACTGGGAATCTTCTGGTCTGTGAGCGACGAAAATTCGTCTGAAGGTGTGGCGTCCTCTCGTTCTCTGCGCTTTCACTGGGAGCTACAATCCCGCGCTGTTAGCGATCAGCCATCTTGGATCTCTCTCCCACCTTCTCAAGTTTTCAAATTGGGAGGGTCAATTTCTATGTTTATTCAAAAGAAAGCATAAACATGAGTTTTACGGGATGATCGGGCCAGTTTCAAACTCCTGTTAGAGATGTGTATAAAACAACTGTCGCATCCACAGGGGCCAGACGAATGTATCAGTACCAAGGTGACAAAGACGCCACGAAGAAATCAACCCAGACATCTGCAGAACGTGTGCAGTTCTGTCTCCGAGAATGAAAGTGGTCTTGCTGACCCCATGTGTTAGGAGTTAGGAGAGCAGGTGCCAAGTGGCCTTCCTGGGACTGGCCTGCCACACCCCACCAGCAGGGCTGGCATTTACCTTCCCTGGAGCCTTGTCAGGCAGAGCTGCCGCCCCTCCACAGTTGGAAAACAACACCTCAGCATGGCTTAAATTTGCATTTCTTTTATTGGTGATGGGGTTGAGCATTTGTTCCGGGGTCTGAAGCCGTCAGGAGTCCTTTTCCTGTGGACAGTTTGCTTGTTGGGGGCCCCTCACTGTTCGGCCGCACTGTCAGGGCTCTGGGCATGGCAATGCTCGCTGTAGCAGAGTGGCTGCCCTTTCTCCCCTTGGCTGCATGGGTCTGCGTCTCTCTGGGGTCAGTAGGTTGTCACCTGCAGCACCAGCCTCCCCCACGACAGGTGGTGCCTGCATTGTGCCCCCGTTTCTCTCCTCTTGTTGCGTGCCTCTGCTGGGCGTAGGTGCTGCTGGCCCTGGTCATGCTTGAGGCTGTGGGTGTTGGGCTGTGTGGGGGTCCCAGGGGCTGCCATCAAGCTGGGAGAGTCCCACTTCTTCTGGGAGTCAGCAGCCGCCTGGACCCTGCCCTCTGCCTCAGATGCCCCAGCCATCTCCCTGGGTCATGGGTGGATGGGCCCACATGGGTACACCCAGCTGCTCTCCCCAAGTTCCTCTGGCTGGTCCTCATGCTGGTGGCTCTTCCTACCATCCAAGCTCATCTGTCTCGCCCTTAGGGGGCCCTCCTGGGTGCTTTTCTCTTTCCCGTTTGAGCGAGGCTGGTGTTTAAGGGGTCAGGGAGCATCTCTTGACCCAAGGCCGACTGTCCATTCCCAGCCAGGCGCTCCCTTGGGCTGGCAGGGCTGCCTTCAGAGGCTGCAGCCCCTGTGAACACCCCTGTGTTGCTGCTGAGTCGGGGTGCCCTGTATGGATGCTGTCAGCTGACGGCTGGGGACACTGGGTGGAGAATGGACAGGTCAGGGGCTGGAGTCAGGAGGCCACAGGAGCTGGTGGGCCTGGCAAGGGCAGGGAGGGTGTGGATGGTGGCTTAAAATCACACTGGTTCGGGGCCAGCCCTCCTACCTGTGGCCCTGGTGGACAGAGGCAGATCAGGCGTTGGAAGCAGCAGGTGTGGTTTGCTCAGTGTGTTGGGAGCTTTGCCCACGCTGCTTCAGGGACCAGTGTCCTGCACACCCTGGGGCTGGTGAGGCTGAGAATGGTGCCCTCGGAGTCTCAGCCATGTCCCTGGCATTTGGGTCCCCCAGGTACCTCACCTGTCTCTCCCCATGAGCATGTGCCTCACCCCACCCCGGTGTTTCCTCCACAGCTGGGCACCCTGACACCACTCCACATCGCTGCAGCCCTTCCTGGGGAGGAGGGTGTCCGGATTGTGGAGTTGCTGCTGCATGCCATCACCGACGTGGATGCCAGGGCAGCCGACAAGGACGACACCTACCAGCCCGGCCAGGTGCGTGTCTTGAGACCTGCGGCGGGGGTGTGGGGCCTTGGCTGGATGGAGTCACACCCTATGCCGAGCCTGAGGGCCTGCTGGCTTGGGGCCGCAGCAGTGGAGATCTGCACAGAAAACCCATCTGGATGCCAGCCTTAGCCAGCGGGCTTCTGATATCGAGAGGCCGAAATGGTTGATTGGAATGAGCTAAGAATGTGTTTGTTCAGGCAGCCCGCAGAGCAGGGGGCCCCATGAGGACCTGTTGCAGGCAGCGATCTCACGCCTTTCGGAAGGTTTCTCTTTGTAGACAGAGGCCAGTTCCTTGTACCCAGGGTCTCCTCC